GTTGCCTTGCCGCTGCTTTGCCCCATCTCGTGTCCATGCTTGTTGCCCCCGAGGGAGACCCGGATGCACCAGACATCCCGACCCCACGCTCTTACGCAGAGGCGATGGCCGGTCCCTACTCCTCTCAGTGGCAGTCAGCCATGGACACAGAGATGGCTTCCTGGAAGTCCACTAGCACCTACGTCGACGAGGTTCCCCCACCTGGGGCGAACATCGTCAGTGGCATGTGGATTTTCAGGGTGAAGCGGCCGCCGGGCTCTCCGCCTGTCTTCAAGGCGCGTTACGTTGCACGAGGCTTCAGTCAGCGAGAGGGAGTTGACTTCTTCCAGACCTTCTCCCCGACCCCGAAGATGACCACTCTTCGGGTTCTGCTACACGTCGCCGCTCAGCGTGACTACGAGCTCCACTCTCTTGACTTCAGCACAGCTTTCTTGCAGGGCAGCCTGCACGAGGAGATCTGGCTGCGCCGCCCACCTGGCTTCACTGGGTCGTTCCCTCCTGGTACCCAGTGGAGCCTCCGGCGGCCAGTCTACGGTCTCTGCCAGGCGCCACGTGAGTGGCACGACACACTAAGGACTACACTTGCGGCTCTTGGGTTCGCTCCTTCTACTGCTGACCCGTCGCTGTTTCTACGCACCGACCCCTCACTGCCGCAGTTCTACATCCTCGTGTACGTTGACGACTTGGTCTTTGCCACTTCTGACACAGTTGGTCTCGCTCACGTGAAGTCCGAGCTGCAGAAGAGACACACGTGCACAGACCTGGGTGAACTGACAAGCTATCTTGGCTTGCGGATCACCCGGGACAGAGCACGGCGCACCATCACCTTGACTCAGTCACACATGGTGCAGCAGGTCCTCCAGCGCTTCGGCTTCACGTACTCCTCGCCTCAGTCCACTCCTCTGCCTACGGGACACTCGCTCTCAGCTCTGCCTTCGGATGAGTCCGTAGAGCCGAGTGGTCCGTATCCAGAGCTTGTGGGTTGCCTCATGTACCTGATGACCTGCACTCGACCTGACCTTGCATACCCTCTCAGCATCTTAGCACGCTATGTCGCTCCCGGCCGTCACCGGAAGGAGCACATGGATGCAGCTAAGAGGGTGTTGCGCTACTTGTGCAGTACGTCGGGCATGGGGCTAGTGCTTGGAGGGCGAGACCGGCCTGTTCTCACTAGGCACTAAGACGCTTCTTGGGCAGACGACCAGGCTACTCAGCGGTCGTCCCAGGGTTACACCTTCAGCCTTGGCTCTGGCTCTGTCTCTTGGCGCTCTACTCGCTCTTCTTCTGTTCTCAGCTCCAGTTGTGAGGCTGAGATCTACGCCACGGCCATGGCTGCCCAGGAGCTTCGCTGGCTCACCTACCTGCTGACTGACCTTGGAGAGCAGCCTCGTTCTCCTCCAGTGCTGTACGTTGACAACAAGGCCACCATTGCCTTGTGTCAGGAGCACAGACTGGAGCACAGGACGAAGCACATTGCTCTGCGCTACTTTCTTGCTCGAGAGCTGCAGCAGCGAGGTCAGCTTTGTCTGCGTTACGTGGCCACTCGGGCCAACACTGCTGACGTGTTCACCAAGGCGCTTCAGCCTTGTGACCATCAGCGCTTCTGTACTGTTCTAGGCCTCGTGCCTACTGTCCCTCATTTGCTCACTTCTTGACTTTGCTTGTACAGTGATCTCTATATATATATACCTGCATGCTTACTCTTGCTAGGTTGTGATCACTATATCTCTTGTTCTTTTATAAATCTGCATGTGAACTGGTCTTGTGACCGCTTGCTTGTGCTCGGAACTTGTGTGGTATCCTTGAGATCCACCCTGAGCTTTGCTTTGCTTTGACTGGTCTTGTGACCCCTTGTTCTCCCCCACTTTGCCTATGGGGGTGTGTCAAACATTGTATGTTGTGCTTGTTTAGGCTACAGTGGGTTAGCCTATAGTGGGTACACATTTCTAGGGTTAGGTTTGACCTATTTGTACCCAACTCTCATTCTAGTCATTTCATTCTCGTTTCTCATTCTGACAGCTGACACTGCTGGACTCGCCTACGTGAAGTCCGAGCTGCAGAAGAGACACACGTGCACAGACCTGGGTGAACTGCGCAGCTACCTTGGCTTGCAGATCACCCGGGACAGAGCACGCCGCACCATTACCCTGACTCAGCCACACATGGTGCAGCAGGTCCTTCAGCGCTTCGGCTTCACGTACTCCTCGCCTCAGGCCACTCCTCTGCCTACTCGCCACTCGCTCTCAGCTCTGCCTTCGGATGAGTCCGTAGAGTCGAGTGGCCCATACCCAGAGCTTGTTGGCTGCCTCATGTACCTGATGACCTGCACACGACCTGACCTTGCATACCCTCTTAGCATTGTCGCACGCTATGTTGCTCCTGGGAGACACCGACCAGAGCACATGGCTGCAGCGAAGAGGGTGTTGCGCTACTTGTGCAGTACGTCGGGCATGGGGCTAGTGCTTGCAGGGCGCAGTCCAATGGTCCTTACTGGGCACGCGGACGCTTCTTGGGCTGACGACCAGGCTACGCAGCGGTCGTCACAGGGTTACACCTTCAGCCTTGGTTCCGGCTCTGTCTCGTGGCGGGCTACTCGCTCGTCTTCTGTTCTCGGCTCCAGTTGTGAGGCTGAGATCTACGCAGGGGCCATGGCTGCACAGGAGCTTCGCTGGCTCACCTACCTGCTGACTGACCTCGGAGAGCCGCCTCGTTCTCCTCCAGTGCTGTACGTAGACAACAAGGCCATGCTGGCCTTGTGTCGAGAGCAGCGACTGGAGCACAGAACAAAGCACATTGCTCTCCGCTACTTCCTTGCTCGTGAGCTACAGCAGCGTGGACAGTTGCGGCTTGCGTACGTGGCCTCTGAGGCCAACACTGCTGATGTTTTCACCAAGGCACTTCCGCCTTGTGATCATCAGCGCTTCTGCACTCAGTTGGGTCTTGTCCCTGTCTTGCCTCACTTGCTCACCTCTTGACCTTGCTTGTACTGTTACATATATATATACCTGCTCTTGCTTGTCTAGCCTTATATATATATGTACTCCTGCATGTGAACTGGCCTTGTGGCCTTGTACGTGTGCTCAGAATGTGTGGTGACGTTGTGATCCACCCTGAGCTTTGCTTTGTTTTGCTTTGCTTGACTGGTCTTGTGACCCCCTGTTCTCCCCCACTTTGCCTATGGGGGTGTGTCAGAACATTATAGCTTATGCTTTTGTGTAGGTTGTAGTGGGGTATCCCATAGGGGGTACAACCCAATTAGGGTTGGTACTTGTACCCACTTCATTTATAATTCATTCATCCACGTTTCAGTTTTCTCAGGTAGAGTCGCGTAGTCCACCGGCTTCGTGACGATGACGAGCCACCAGTCCATGGCGGGTCCTCGCAGCAACGACACGGCGTAGCGAATCTTCGTCGTATCCTCCGAGACGTAGTTCGCGTCGAAGAAGACGTTCAACGTGAAAAGCCACGCCTGGACGGTAGGACCACCCCGCTGACTTGGGTCAAAGCATGGTAGACGCTGCGGCTTTAGCGGCATCGGCGACGGAAGAGTTGATTCGCCGGCCGGCACCGAAATCGTGACTCGAGGCTGAGTCCTGTCCGCATTCGTCGCGTCGGGGTGTGTCGTGCCGTGGCCGTCGTCTCCGTCATGGCGGACGACGCCATCACTTGCGGCGCTCGCGGGTTGCCCCACACTTCCGTGCTGTGATGTCTGTGGTGCGGGTTGAATCGGAGTGCGAGGTGCTTGGGATTGTTCTCGTTTGAGGTCGTTTTGTAGGGACGAGCGTTCTGCTGTCAGCGTCGCGATTTCCTCGGCGCTCTCGCGGATTTGTCGCAGCAGATCGTTCAAGTGCTCCTGCGTGAGAGTCGTGACGTCGATGTGTTCAGCCATTTCGAAGGGCGTCGGCTCGTCTTAGTCTAGGCGCAGACGTGGCTGCACGCGTTTACGAGAGAACGCGAGGACATCGGCTCCTAGGTGCTAAGGTACGTGAGTCCCTTCGAGTGAAAAATCAAAAGTTGATTTCCTGAGGTGCGGAGATGCGCGGTCCGAAAGGAAAGAGGCTCTGATACCAAGTGTTACAGGTGCAATGAATCGAAGTAGCGAGAATTGCACTAAGGTGTCAAACGAGTACAAAATGTGAGCGAAGGCATGAGCGAACATTTATACGCGAAACATGCAAACGGTAACGCGGTGCGTGCGAGCTAGCTAGTGCTACGCTGGAAGCGAGGCTCGGGCTAGTCCCGAAGCGTAGGCCGACACGGCCAGGCCAGCAGTGTGAGGTTTGGTGAAACAGTGCGCGCGAAGTCGGCGAAGCCCCGTTAGCAGTAACGGGCGAACAACGGCTGCTGCTGTACGCGATGTTGCAGGGTGCGCTAAGGAATATCGAGAAAATTCCTTACAAGATTGGAAATTGGAATGTGCAGTTACATGTTTTGATCGGTGTACATTGTCACTCAGTAAAAGTTATCTTGTCACCCGCACATTTGTCTTGTATAATACAAAGTGGAATATTTGTTTTGTTTCATACAATGCTCGAACACAAAGTTTGCACTACTTGGTTTCTATGGCGGTACACTGGGATTTTTTTGGGGCAAGGGGGGTCTGGATGGAGCAGTTGATTGGGATGAGGAGGACGCTTTCTGGAAGAAGCGAGGGGTGAAATCTTCTGCTTTTATACCAAGCTGCTTTTGCAGCCGCAAAACATCATCCTCAGCTCGCCGCAGTCTTTGCCATGCTCGGGCAGAATAAAACCCCATCAAGGCTGCAGGAGTCATGGGATAGGGAGAGGGGAAGGGGGAGAGGAGGGAAGATGGGGGGGAGGCTGTGATATGAGAATGTGATCTGAGTGAGGGTGCGCCAAAGAGAATCAGTAGTGGCAACGAAACGAAACAGCTAACACTTTGAAACTAAGAAGGTAAATGGATGGATGATGGATGATGGATGATGGGATGCCAGTGACACGGCAGCAACACGCAACTGTCAGAAGGAAAGATATCCATACCAAAGGTAACGCCATAGGATGCCCACACATATGGATAGTCCTCGCAGTGCTGACGCATCGCCACGACTGCTGACGTGGCACGATCCAGCAGTGATGATGTGGACGAGTCTGATGTGGGCGAACCTCCTGCAGTGGCCTCATCTCGTGGTGGGCGCTCCATTGCCGGTACAAGACGACCTACGCCACCCTCTTCCTTTCTTCTCGCGTCAAAACTGACCCACTGCCCGATGGTTTTCGTTCTTGCTGTCCGACCCTCTGCCTGCCCTACATGTGGTTCCTCTGCCCCGGGTGTGCTCCTCTGCCCCGGGTGTGCTCCTCTGCCCCGGGTGTGCTCCTCTGCCTGACAGTGGGAACGCCGATCAGGCAGCAGCAACAGGAAGCTGAATCGGAACAGCGAACGGCGCAAAGGAGCAAAGGTGCAGAGCCCAAAGGAGCTCTGCCACAGGAGGAGCACGCGGATGCCCGGGCGACCTGCAGCGAGACAGATTGACGTGCGATGAGTCGTGTTGAAATGAGAGCATGAACAAAATGAGTTCACGAGACGAGAGGTGATGCGATAGGAGGAGAGGGGAGGAGAAGGGAGAAGAGGGGGCAAGAGGAGGTGAGAGGACGGGAGGGAACAACTTGCACCGTAGGGGGCATGGTGCAAAGGAAGTGAGAGAAATTGCTTGAGCACAGCACATCAAAACGAAAGAGAGAAAAGGCGGGAAGGGGTCAAAACGGGGTGGGGGCAAGACGGGGCGGCGGAGGACTCGGGGAGAGGGAGGGTAGAGTGGGGGAGGGGATTTGGGAAGACAGTGAGGGAGGAATGAAGAGGTCCAGAGAGAAAGAGGAAACAGCGGGCGAAGGAAATGCGGGGGAGAAGGGATTAAGAGGCTCGAGCGATAAAGGGAAGGTAATAAGAGAAAGCGAGGCGGCGAAGAGTCGTTGCGACAGTAGCAGGGGTCACGAATCGGGGGAGGGGGAAGAAAGCCGCAGCGCGGACAAGGGGGTACGGGAGCTGCCGCGGGGGCGGGCCGACGGCGTGAGTGGCAGGGGAGGGAGTCGAAAGCGGGGGCGAGAGGGGCGATGGTATGGAGAGTGCAAAGCGAGGGAAGCGCATAACACACACTGTCGGCTTAGAGCGACATGGGCGCGGATCGGAGAGTAGGAATGAGGCGTTCGTGAGGTGAGAAGTGAGGGGTGAGGGCGAGCGCGTGGGGAGCAAGGGCGACGGGCGAGAGAGATCGAGACGAGGGTTGCGATGCGAGGGGGCACGGACTGCCTAGCGATGTGGATTCGCACCTGCTGCGACTGGGGAACGAGGAGCGCTGATGATGCGACGCTGACGATCGATGCGACCAGCGCACAGACGATCCTTGAGGCACCCACCGATCGCACACACGGATCCCGAAGTAGCTGAAACACGGGAATTCGCGGGACAGTTTTGTCTGGGTCAGTAATTTGTAGCGTGACGTTTGGCTGAGGTCTTACGAAGGGGAGGGTGTGTTCAGAAAACGCAGCAGTTTTTGGACCACATCGAGAACCTTGTTGCAAGTCAAGCAAACAAAAATCACAACCTTCGGAGGAACCTTATTTCAGGTGCAGAAGGCTGGTGCGAATCAATCTTGCAACCGCGCGAGCTGAATCGGTGTGGAAAAGCTGAACCGAGCCTGCTCTGTTGGGCGACAGACATGAATCTGCCTCGAGATGTCTGACGCGGGCACAGGCTACTCACCTTCCGTATATGGTTGGTGGCGATTGAATTAGCGCTGTCGACGGCGCCTTTTGCGCCAAATTGCCTCCAGCAGCTCGGGCAGGCGCTCGTTTTAGGTTTTTGTTTCCGTTGTGCCCCGCAGCGCTCTTTCCGTCGCTGCTGCGGTAACTGCTCGCTAGGATGTCGCACAATCCGAGTCACCTCCTCGTGTATCATGTCGGTCTCCCTCGCCGATCCCCTCATGCCACTTGCGACGGAAACGACCAGCCACGCAAGTTCGACAACAAATTCCGCGTGTATCCCGCGCTTATTCGTAATGCACATTTGTTCGTCAATAGCTCATCTCGCCGCTTCCTTCCAGTCATTCATTCATCTCGCCTCTTGCTTCCGCTGATCAATCCATCCAAGCCGTCTTTCAGGGCATGTGTGCTCTTTCCACGTGGCAGGGCTAATTGACACGTGCACTGGGTGTCAGATAATGGTGATCCTGACTCAGCATTTCTTCCCTTGCGTGCGTCCTCTATTTGCTTCTCTGCTTTCCTTCCGTCCTTCATCAACTATTGTAGCCTCTTATACTCTAGACTGCATCCCAAAGACTGCTCACATACACTGCCTCCCTGCCGGTCCCCCCCTTCCGCCTCTTCCCCCCTCGTCTCCACTTCCAAATTCTCACCGCCTTTCGCCACTTTTTGTTGCCACCCGCCTCCACTCCACATGCACAAAGCATGCAACCCACAGGGTCGAATCCCCATGCGTTCCTCCCAGGTTTCCCTTTCGCGCTCCCTTGGTCCGCAATGCTTCCACGCGACCCCTCTGGCAGCTCGTCCGTGGCGGGAAGCCCATAAGGGAGGGACTTACATGTTGAGGCTGGCTGCAATCGTGGAAGCCCATGGCGTGTTCCGGTAAAAAGAAGAGTCTCCGCGACAGCTCACTCTTCAATTCAATCATTAGTCCCTTCCTGCCCCTCCCTGCCCCCTCTCTGCCCCTTCCTGCCCCTTCCTGCCCCTTCCTGCCCCTTCCTGCCCCTTCCTGCCCCTTCCTGCCTCTTCCTGCCCCTTCCTGCCCCTTCCTGCCCCTTCCTGCCCCTCCCTGCCCCCCCCTGCCCCTTCCTGCCCCTTCCTGCCCCTTCCTGCCCCTTCCTGCCCCTTCCTGCCCCTTCCTGCCCCTTCCTGCCCCTTCCTGCCCCTCCCTGCCCCCCCCTGCCCCTTCCTGCCCCTCTCTGACACTTACTGACACACACTCTTGCAGATTCTGTCACGTTGTCATGCATACACACAGTTTCTACAGCCCGTGTTCTTATTGAGGTCACCTTGTTTCATGCCAGCATCCCTTCCTTGCACTTTCACCTGCTTGTTTTGTGTTCTTCCCTGCTTGCTCTCCTGCTTACTTTCCAGCCCGCCTCGCATAATCTGGTGGCATGTCTGTCTGTCTGTCTGTCTGTCTGTCTGTCTGTCTGTCTGTCTGTCTGTCTGTCTGTCTGTCTGTCTGTCTGCCTGCCTGCCTGCCTGCCTGCCTGCCTGCCTGCCTGCCTGCCTGCCTGCCTGCCTGCCTGCCTGCCTGTCTGTCTGTCTGTCTGTCTGTCTGTCTGTCTGTCTGTCTGTCTGTCTGTCTGTCTGTCTGTCTGTCTGTCTGTCTGTCTGTCTGTCTGTCTGTCTGTCTGTCTGTCTGTCTGTCTGTCTGTCTGTCTGTCTGTCTGTCTGTCTGTCTGTCTGTCTGTCTGTCTGTCTGTCTGTCTGTCTGTCTGTCTGTCTGCCACGTCCCATTCAAGTGGCCACGGCCCACCAACTTCAAAGCCATCTACCTCCTCCCATCGCCCAACCACCCAGCTCTCCATCCTTTCACCTGCCCTTTTTTCGTTCAGTTTGTCCTCTTCTTCTTTCACGTGCTCTTGTCTATGTCGGTAACTCTCTCCCACACCCCTTTGCTCCACTCACCCTCCTCCACTGCTCACCCTCTTGGCCTTCCTCTGCCTACCTCTGCCTACCTCTGCCTACCTCTGCCTACCTCTGCCTACCTCTGCCTACCTCTGCCAACCTCTGCCAACCTCTGCCTACCTCTGCCTACTTCTGCCTACCTCTGCCTACCTCTGCCTACCTCTGCCTACCTCTGCCTACCTCTGCCTACCTCTGCCTACCTCTGCCTACCTCTGCCTACCTCTGCCTACCTGCGCCTACCTGTGCCTCGTCCCACTCTTGCCTTGCCTCTGAACCACCCACTTCCCACCTTCCATCCTCACTCCCCGGCCCGCCATGTCTTGCCTTTGTACCCACCTTTACTATGCCTCCCTTCCATTTCTTTCTTCCTCCACGTCTTCATTGGCCCACGCCTAGGACTCATCTGCTCAGGTTTCTCTTTTTAAAAAAAGCTCCTTGACCACCCACTGTCAGCCATGGCCTTGTAAAGAACCGCAAATGAAGCAAAAAGAATGCTAGCAGTAATGAGCAAGAACATGCAAGCAGTATCCATCCTCTGCCCAATCCTGCTATGACCACCTCCCTACCCATGGCGAGCTCCACTAAGACGAGCGTAGGGCTCTATCGCATGGCCGCCCAGATCTGCCGCCCTCTCTTCCTCCACCTGCCCGGCAAGCACTTTCAGCTGGCTTGAGCTTGATGGGTCCTGTAACAGGGAAGCAAACCCACTCATGCGCATTCCGAATTGTCAAGCCAACTTCTGAGGCGCCTAAATAGGGGCATCATCAAGCACAACCTTACTCAAATCTCCTGAAAGGGTGTAATGTACCTATATTGTACCTATATGTACCTATATGTACCTATATGTACCTATATGTACCTATATGTACCTATATGTACCTATATTTTGTTTTGGCTCTCATTCTCCCTCACTCCCTCCCTTCGTCCCAATGCTTGCCAAAGGGAGGTGGTAATTGCTCTGCTGAGATTGAAAGGTGCAAGGTGGGTAGGGCTGATGCAACAAGAGACAGTGGAGGCAATGCGCGTTGCACTCAAAGGGCCGACCTTCCCCTCAACGTAGCCAAGGGTGAGTTGCCTTCCCCCCTGCTGCTATCGCGTGGTTTGGTTACCGGCTCAGCATGCTTACTTTGGTTACCGGCTCAGCATGCTTACTTTGGTTACCGGCTCAGCATGCTTACTTTGGTTACCGGCTCAGCATGCTTGCTTTGGCCGGTCTCCTTGTTTCTTGGTGTTCACTTGTTGAGTGGCATTTCAGAGAGTGTGACTGCAGGTGGTGTGAGTGAAAGGAGTGTGATATGCGGGAAAGATGCATGGTCTTGTGAGATGGAGAGCAGAGAGATGGGAGGAAAAGAGGAGAGCGGGGGCGGAGGCGCTAAAGGGAGCAGGAGGGTGGATGGAGGAGCATGGATGGAGGAGCATGGATGGAGGAGCATGGATGGAGGAGCATGGATGGAGGAGCATGGATGGAGGAGCATGGATGGAGGAGCATGGATGGAGGAGCATGGATGGAGGAGCATGGATGGAGGAGCATGGATGGAGGAGCATGGATGGAGGAGCATGGATGGAGGAGCATGGATGGAGGAGCATGGATGGAGGAGCATGGATGGAGGAGCATGGATGGAGGAGCATGGATGGAGGAGCATGGATGGAGGAGCATGGATGGAGGAGCATGGATGGAGGAGCGCGAGAGGAAGTGCAAGGCGAGGAATCTAGAATGGATGGGATGGGGGTGAAGCTGCAGCGATTCTTGAGGCGCCTCAAAAAGCACCTCTATGCTTTAGGATGGATGCGGGTGAAGCTGCAGCAGGAGAGGCTGTGAGCAACAGTGACAGGCCATTATGAGAGGGCTGCAGTGACAGAGAGGCCATGATGAGAGGGCTGCACTGCAACTGGCAGTTGCTTTGCTGGGTGTTGGCCAGCAGGCATGATATGGAAAGCTTATATTGATATTATAAAATAGGATATTTCATATGCTATTATTCGATGTGCTATATATGGAACGAACGACCACCTTATTGTGGCGAAGCATTTGTACACTCTAAGCGATTGGCCAGCAACACCTACATGAACATCATGGCCAGTCCTAAAACAGTAAGTGTGGACCATAACTTGGTCGGTTGGATGTGCCGCCGGCCTGAAGACTCATCTGCGATAATACGCGGCAGAAAATGTGGAAGAACATGTTGATTAGGTTTGGAGGCAACGGTACTTCGAAAAGGAACAAGGGACAACCAAGGTTTACACATGAACGAAACGTCTTGCTGGGTGTAGACATTGTGGGGGGGAAGCAAGCAACGAGTGGACAAACGTAACGACTGTTACAGTTGTAACAGTTTTCTGCCGCGTTCTTCCCCCCCATAATTCGTTGGGCGGGGAATGAATTATCGTACCGTAGCTGTAGTCGGGCGGGTTTTCAAAGATGGCAGGGGAGGAGCGGATGATAGCACTGGTGGTGGTGTTGATGAGCTTCCCCGAGGTGCCTGGGTTGAGTGGGAGTGCGGGGAGAAGTGGGAATGGGTGTTGGTGAATGCATGTGATGAGAAGAGGAGTAAGGCCAAGAGCGGGGAGTAAGGCCAAGAGCGATCTTGATTCTCAATTCATTTGTTAAGGGCGAAGAGGAGGGTGAATTGCAAGTGTTTGGTGAGGATGAATGGAGAGCATGTACAGTTCATGGGCACGTACAGTTCATGGGCACGTACAGTTCATGGGCACGTACAGTTCATGGGCACGTACAGTTCATGGGCACGAATCCAATCGTGTTCTTCTCGTGGTTGAAAAGCACGTCGTTGTTGCGCAGCCACGACCCTGCCAGCAGGCCACCAGACGGAAGGAGGTGAGTGCGGCACAACATTGAAGGGAGAGAACCCGATGCCACAGACGCATAATACAATGACTGAACAAGGCTTGGAAACGCACACTAAACAAACAAATGAAGGGGAAAATCACACAGTACAGTGCACACAAAGCAGCCCACATGGATGGCGCGTCGCGCACCTCCTATGTATGTGGTGTTGGACTCCCGGTATCCAATGGCTGCTATGCACAGCAGTGTGTCGTTCTGCTTGCATGCAGGCAGTGGGGAGACAGAAGGCGTGAGAACACACATGTGTTGAGATTGAGACACATACGGTACGTAGTCGTTTGCTCTAGTGCTCCGAATGAACGGCAGTAGGCACACACACACACACACGCATGGCATCCACATTGGATCACACGCACACACACAGTGTATAGCACACACACGTGGTGTAAAGCACACACACATGGTGTAAAGCACACACACATGGTGTAAAGCACACACACATGGTGTATAGCACACACACATGGTGTAAAGCACACACACATGGTGTAAAGCACACACACATGGTGTAAAGCACACACACATGGTGTAAAGCACACACACATGGTGTAAAGCACACACACATGGTGTATAGCACACACACATGGTGTAAAGCACACACACATGGTGTAAAGCACACACACATGGTGTAAAGCACACACACATGGTGTAAAGCACACACACATGGTGTAAAGCACACACACATGGTGTAAAGCACACACACATGGTGTAAAGCACACACACATGGTGTAAAGCACACACACATGGTGTAAAGCACACACACATGGTGTATAGCACACACACATGGTGTAAAGCACACACACATGGTGTAAAGCACACACATGGTGTAAAGCACACACACATGGTGTATAGCACACACACATGGTGTAAAGCACACACACATGGTGTAAAGCACACACACATGGTGTAAAGCACACACACATGGTGTATAGCACACACACATGGTGTAAAGCACACACACATGGTGTAAAGCACACACACATGGTGTAAAGCACACACACATGGTGTAAAGCACACACACATGGTGTAAAGCACACATACATAACTTGTAAGAAAAGGATCTGTGAAGCTATGAAGAAAACCATTCCCCGTGTGTGGGGGTGGATTGAAAGCGCACCTTGTGGAAGAGGTAGTTGTAGGCGGGGACGGCCCACAGCAGGTTGGCCGAGAAGTCGAGCTGGAGAGGCGGGTACGTGGATGCCAGCTCTGCACTGGACCTGGTCGGGGCAGGGCAAGGGGGAAGAGCAAGGAGGATAGGAAGTGGGGATGAGCAGGGGGGAAGAGAAGGGGGGGTGAGCAGAGTGGAGGAGCAGGGGGAAGCGGCAAGGGGCAAGTGGCATGAGCAAGTGAAGGCCATGGTGAACAGTTCGACAATCGTGTTGTGTTCAGTGGTGATGGAACTCATGGTGCTGCACTGCCGGATGCCAGTCAGCAGCGTGCATGGATACATGACTCGTTTTGAGACGTCTCAAAACAGCAGCCTGTGTGGCTTGTGAACACGTAATGCCAGCGACTCTTGACTCCACGCCCTGACAATAAGTGCAGGGAATGCGTGAGAGGGGCCCGGACGAGCTCACATGCGTTTGGGCGAGCTCACATGCGTTTGGGCGAGCTCACATGCGTTTGGACGAGCTCACATGCGTTTGGGCGAGCTCACATGCGTTTGGGCGAGCTCACATGCGTTTGGGCGAGCTCACATGCGTTTGGACGAGCTCACATGCGTTTGGGCGAGCTCACATGCGTTTGGACGAGCTCACATGCGTTTGGGCGAGCTCACATGCGTTTGGGCGAGCTCACATGCGTTTGGGCGAGCTCACATGCGTTTGGGCGAGCTCACATGCGTTTGGACGAGCTCACATGCGTTTGGGCGAGCTCACATGCGTTTGGACGAGCTCACATGCGTTTGGGCGAGCTCACATGCGTTTGGGCGAGCTCACATGCGTTTGGGCGAGCTCACATGCGTTTGGACGAGCTCACATGCGTTTGGGCGAGCTCACATGCGTTTGGGCGAGCTCACATGCGTTTGGACGAGCTCACATGCGTTTGGGCGAGCTCACATGCGTTTGGACGAGCTCACATGCGTTTGGGCGAGCTCACATGCGTTTGGGCGAGCTCACATGCGTTTGGGCGAGCTCACATGCGTTTGGGCGTGCGCAGGCAGCGGAAGAACCCCGACCACCTCATGGACTGGTTCACTGCCTTCTCCAACTGCATGGGTGAGGATGGGCGTGGATGGACGTGGATGGTGAGGGGTACAGGCAGGTTGTAGGAGGAGGTGGGCAGAAAACAAAAAACGCAAAAAGGCTGACGCAATTACAGAAGAGAAAACGGAAGGATGGCTGGCTGTCAGCATAAAGAGCAAGAAAAAACACAGAGCAAATGAAAAGCACTGCTCATGAACGAGAGGAAACGCGAATACAAGCATGTTTAGATCTTGGCAGCGAAACGAGCACAGGAGCAGAGCAGCGGGAGACTGACAGCGGAGGTGAGAGCAGAGAAGATGGGCGCAGGCAGGGCCGTGAATGTCGACCCACTGTCTATCACCGCTCCCCCCGACACCGCCCCTGTAGGCAGCGACCCCCCCGCCGTGCCCCCGCTGCCATCGCCCTCCCCATCCCCCCCGCCACTGTCACCCGCGCCCCCACCTCCCCCCATGTCCGCAGCAGCCCCATCGCCCCCCAAGAAGGAGGTGCCAGAGGCGGGCGTGGAGAGGCCGTGTGGGGGCGGGGCGACGGTGATGGCGGTGGTGCCGTTGGGCAGGGGGATGGGCGCCCAGTTGAGGTAGAGCGCCAGCAGAGGCAGGCGGTACACCGTGCTGAGAGGGGGTGGGGAAGGGGGTGGGAGAGGCAGACGGGGAAAGCAAAAGGAAGAGTTGAGTGGGGAACGACAAGTGTGGTGGTGCCGTTGGGCAGGGGGATGGGCACCCAGTTGAGGTAGAGCGCCAGCAGAGGCAGGCGGTACACCGTGCTGGTGGGGTGGAAGGGGCGTGGGGAGAGGCAGATGGGAGGTAGGAGGAGAGGGAGGAAGAGTTGAATGGCGAGTGAGAAGTGTCTTCCTGTCGTTAGGCGGGGGGGTGGGCGATCGGTGGAGGTGCAGGGCGGGCAGGGGCAGGCGGTATACTGTGCTGGGGGGGGTGCGGAAGGGGAGCAGGGGAGTGAGAAGGGGTGGCCTTGGGAAGCCTTGGGAAGGGGAGCAGGGGTTTTCAGGTCGAAGTATAGTGCAAGCAGCGGTAGGCGATACACAGTGCTGAGGGGGGGAGGAAAGAGGGATGGGGAATTGGGGCAATGGGTGTGGTGTGGCATGCAACAGCAACAGCAACAGCAGGGAAACGCCGTCCAGTCCAGAGTAGCAACCCTCGCCGTCACAGGTAACTAAACTGGGCCAGGGGCGCGGGGACAGTGGCGTTGCTATGCTTGTATCCCTCCCCACAAGAATCCGCAAGCGCCTCACAGGTCATCAGAGGGTGCGAGGGGAGCAGTGACGGTGGCATAAGTAACGGGCAGGCGCCGCCTCCCCAGCACGAGGTGGCCCCCGCGCTGGCGGCCCTCCAGGCAGAGCGAGAAGGACTCGTGCAGCACGCCCTGTGCTGCCAGCTGTGTGACTATAGAGAGCGGGCCGCGGCCCAGCCCCATGACCCCGCTGAGGGACGCTGTGGAGGAGGGCGACGCGAGGCGCCCCGTCTGGTGCACTCCACAGCTGGGGTGGTGGGGGGTTGGGGGGAGGGGGGTGGAGAGACGGGAGGGGGAGAGAGGCGGGGCGGGGCGTTGAGGGTGAAGGAGACTGTATGCTGCTGCTGGAGGCGCTTGGGTGGGTGTGCATGGAAAAAGGTCAGGTGTGAGGCGTTAACGATAAGGTCAGGTGTGAGGCGTTAACGAAAAGGGTAGGTGTGAGGCGTTTACAAAAGGTTAGGTGTGAGTGAGATGTATAAAAAAACACAGCAAGAGGGTGGGGAGGGGGGAGGTGGCAGCAAGTCGCTTCATGCAGTGATGTTGGAGGGGGGGAGGCACCCAAAAGCGATGGTGGCGTTGGCGGAGTTATTGGAGGTGGAGTGGAGAGCGAGCGAGTCAAAGAGCACATCCCCCGCCGTGGTGCTGCCGTCCCCATACTGCAGCATGTACTGACACCGCCGGCTCGTGCGCACGCCCCCCACCTGATGAAGGGGACACGATGGAGAGAGGTGGGATAAGGTTGGAGGAAGAGCGCGAGGGAGAGTGAGAGGGGGATGAGGAGGAGGACGAAACCATATGGCAGCATGTACTGGCCCCGCCGGCTCGTGCGCACGCCCCCCACCTGATGAGGGGGACACGATGGAGAGAGGGAATAAGGGGAAAGGAGGAAGGGTCCGAGGGAGAGTGAGAGGCGAATGAGGAGGAGCAAGCCATACGGCAGCATGTGCCATGTGTCGTGAATCTTCCTCTGTCCACCCTCATTCCCTTTCTCCCCTGTGTATCCTGCTGACTTCTCCTTCTCTCCTTCCTTCCCTGCCACCCGTACTGCTGATCAGGTTCATCCCTTCTTCCTCCTGGCGTATGTAATCACTCTGTCCTGCACTCCTCCTGGTACCTCAGGCTTCCCTGCCCCCTCCCGTGTCTCAGCGCCCATCTTTGCCGCTTGAGTCACGGGACCCACTGCCTGAGGCTTCCCTTGTCCCGCCCTGGCCACGTTGGTGATGTGTTCCTTGATGATTCCCCCTCGAATATCTTCCAGCACTAACACTCCCGAGCCTCGTATCTCTTTCACCTTCCATCGCTCCGATCCCACCGCTAAGTCCAGCGTGTCGCGCTTAGCTTTGCGAAGGTATACCTCCTGCCCTGCCTCCACCTTATCACCCTTTCCCCCTATCCCTGATGCTTTACGCTGCTGGTATCGTCTTGCGTCACGCAGCTGCGCCACATGGAGGTTATCCAGAGCTGCCGGAGTCAGCTCCTTCAAATACTTTGCTCTCCTCTGGGCTAACTCCGCCCACAGGTTTGGCTCATCTGCCTCTATAACCACAGAAAGCAGCTTCGGAGCATCGACCGGCAGCACAGGATCCCGCCCGAACAGTAAGTGGTATGGGGATAGGTTTCTCAGAGCCGCCTGCTTCGCGAACCTGTACCCCGCCAGCACCCACCAGAGATCTCGGTCCCAACTCCTTTTGTGGGACTCACTGTAGGCCCGTAGTCCTTTCTTCAAGGTCTGTATGAGCCTCTCGGTCAGTCCGTCTGATTGAGGATGGTACCTAGAGGTGACCCTGTGCGTGATACCCATCTCTTCCAGCAGCTCGTCGAAGCTCCCTTGAAATTCCGTCCCTTGATCAGTGAGTACCTCCCCGCATGCCCCATACCTGGTGAGCACCAGCTCCTCAAAGGCGTCAGCTATCAGTGCGCTGTTCTTGCTTGGTAACGCTCGCGCCTCCACCCATTTACTCATGTGCTCAACCATCACCAGAATGTACTGCTTCCCTCCTTTCGATAGTGGCAGCTCTCCCGCGAGGTCCAACGACCACCTGTAGCCCAACCCGCGAATTGGTAAAGAATGCAGCTCATCTCTCTCTTTCTCTAGCCTTGCTTTATTCCTCTGACATGCCTCGCAGCTCGCCACTAATCCTGCCACATCCTTTCCCATGCTCACCCACCAGTACATGGTGCTCAGCAGCTGCCGTGTTCTGGTTATGCCGAAGTGCCCCAGCTTCGCGTGCACATTCCCCATAATCTTGGCTCTCTCCTGTGGTTGTGGCACCACCTTCCACCCTTCGTTGGTTCTCAGCTGCAGCTGTTCTTGAAACCACCTGAAATGCTGCCCTCGGGCCCTGGCTCTCTCGCTCACTCCTTCCTCTTCTAGTGGCTCCCCTTTGATCCAGCTCAAGGTCTCCTCATCCTCCCATATATCCCCTAACCGCTTCTTTCCTTTCTCCTGCCCCCAGGGTATCGCTGTTACTTGAGCCAGGGCTGCCAGCTGCGCTACCGGCTGCATTGGTGGCGGATTCCTTGATAACCCATCTGCGTGCTGCAGCGTTTTCCCAGGCCGGTGTCGGATCTCTAAGTCGAATCCCAGCAGCTTAATGGCCCAGCGAGCGTTTCTTCCCGTCAGCTCCTGATGAGTCATCAACCATAGCAACGGCTGGTGATCAGTCACAAGTGTGAAGCGCCGACCCTGCAGGTACACCTTGAAGTGAGTGATCCCCCATACAGCTGTCAGGCCCTCCCCCTCGTAAGAGCAGTAGTTAGCCTCGGATGGGCTGCAGCTGCGGCTGGCGAAGGCTACCACTCTCTCCTCTCCTTCTATCTCTTGGCAGAGCACTGCCCCCATTCCTGTGCTGCTCCAGTCGATGTATAAGATGAAAGGGGCATCTGCCCTCGGTATCTGCAGCAGCGTTCCCGTTTGTACTACTTCTAACAGGTCCTGCCTTGCCGTTTCCTCCAGCTCTCCCCACTGCCAGCTCCTTCCTTCCTTCAGCAGCTGATTCAGTATGTAGGCTCGGCGGCTAAAGTTCGGTACGAACTTCCTGTAATAATTCAGGAAGCTGAGTAACGCCCGCAGCCCGGTCTTATCCTTTGGTGCTACCAGGTTCTCCAGCACCTTAACTTTTGCTTCCTGTATCGCCAGCCGGCCCCCTTTCACTTCAAAGCCCAGGTAAGCCACGGTCTGCCTTGCTATCTTGCACTTGTCTGGATGGCACGTCAGACCCGCAGCTGCTATAGCCTCTAGCGTCTGCTTCAGATCTTGCACGTGGTGCTCTTCACTGCTGCTGAAAATCAGTATATCATCTATGTAGCAGGCTGCTGCTGGAATCCCCTTCAGCACCTGATCCATGGCCCGCTGGAACACTGCAGGGGCGTTACGTATCCCGAAGGGCATCACATTGTACTCATACAGCCCATCCACCCCGTGAAACGCCGTTTTCCGTTTGTCTTCCTCCCTGATGGCTATCTGGTTGAACCCCTGTCGCAGGTCCAAGGTGGTGAAGATGATGGCGCCTTCTAAGCGATCAAAGATGTCTTCTGCTGTTGGCATGGGGTACCTCTCCGGGCTGGTAATCTTGTTCAGCTCCCGAAAATCTCCACACATCCTTTTCGCCAGCACTTTACCCGTGATATCCTTCCTGGCAGCTACCACTGTGGCTGCTGCGTAGCTTGACTCGAACGGGCGGATAATCCCTGCTGCTAGCAACTCCTCACACTTCTCCTTGCAGATAGCCGCATCCTCTGCATTCATTCTCCTTCTTCGTTGGTAAGTGGGTATCTCTGTGGTAAGGTTTAGCTCCAGCTCTCTTCCCTTGTACCTCCCCAATTCCTGCAGGTTATAGGCGAAAGTGCTCCTGTGCTGGTGCAGCACCTCTCTGATTGCTTCTGCCGTCTGCTCCTTGATGTCCGTACCTAGCTTCCATTCCTTACCCTGCTCAGCTTCTTTGCCCCCTGCTAGTGCCGCAACATTCTCCTTTCCTCCCGTGCCCTGCTCAACAGCTGCATACGCCGCCTGCTTCTCTCCTTGTCCTTGCCTTTTTCCGGTCTCTCCTCCTTTATCAGCTGCCCCCTTCCTCATCTCTTTGATTAACCATCTCAGCAAGTGCTGGTCTATGGCTCTTCCTAAAGCTGCTTTGCGCATCCCTTCCTCTACCCCTTCTGCTGCGGTTGCTCCTGGCAGGTATCCCATGGCTAACTCCCGCTCCAAAGCCGTCGGTTCCTCCCACTTCTTCTTCCGGTGATCGTACACCATCCTTGGTCCTGGTATTCCGTCCACCTCGATGAAACCTTGTGCCCTGGTGTATGCCACTAATGTAGGCCATGCCCTGCGAGCTTCCCCCACCCGGTTGCACTGGTACTGCCGCGGATGATCTGGTTTTACCACTGGGGCCGCCACCCCCCCTGGTTCTAAAATATCCTCTACTATCCTGCTTTCGTCCCTCTCCACTCTTGCTAGTCTTGCCCTCAGTTCCCCGTCTGGTAAGACGTTTTGCCAGTACTGCCGCACCCTATGACAGCATGCCCCCAACTGAGCCCCATCACAGCTCACTCCTCTCCCCAGTTCTGCCTCCACCAGCTCCCTTACTGCCCTGACCGGCTCGCGTACGTCATTCCTCATATCCACATGCTCCAGGATGTAAGCATATTCTCCATTCACTTCACTCGTCCACTTCATTATGGTGAGTAGCTTGGTCACCATCCCCGTGCGCTCGTCCTGTAAGCCTTTCCCCTTTCCGCTCCTATTCCCCCAAACAGCTCCACTAGTGTAATGCTACACTGATCCAGATGAGCGCTGCCGTTGCTCTTCCCCACACTTCCTCCCCTCCTACTGTTCTTCCTCAGTCCTTCTGCTCTCCACGCCTTCTTGGGTTCTGTCTTAACAAACCGTACTGGTAGTTCACTCAGCTCCTTCCCTTCCTCCCAAAAGTCCGAACGGTAGAGCACCTGCTCCTGCCAGGTACAGATAGTGGTGCCTATCTTGAACAGCAGCTCCATTCCTAGTAGGATATCATAGTCTTCTGATTCTGTCAACCCACACTGCACTCTGATAGTGGTCTCCCGCTTCTCTCCCGGCTGTAAGGTTATCTCTATCAGGTCCCGTGTGCATGGCATCCACTTGGGGGCCCCTCCTTCTGCTGTCATGATCAATATGCCCTTGCTTACAGTCTCTACGTTCCCTTGCGCTCGCAGTTGTGCCGTCAGCTTCTTCCCGATTAGGACGCTCTGTGCTCCTGTATCCACTACCGCGTTTTCTACCAAGATTCCTCTGACCGCCACGGCTTTCGGTTCCACCACTAAGGCTGTGGGCTGACAGACTAGCCTTTCCTCGGGGTGACGCCGTGCGGTGCTGACTTTCCCTTGATTCTCCTGCCGCCTGGAAATTCTTCGCTCTTGTAATTTCTGCTCCGCTCTGCCATCTGCCCCTCCGCTGCGCAGCCCCAAGTCTCCCCTCTCCTTTGGCGGCATAGCCATGGTCTCGTATTCTGGTTCCCCTTCTTCAGAATCTTCCCCTTCGTCATCCCCCCAAGCCAGCAGAGCTTTCTCGGGGTCTTCACTGATCCCTGATTTCTCCATCTGAGCTTTCAGTTTCGCCAACTCTCGTTCTAACTGCAGCTCCCTTGCAGTTTTCCCTTTCGCCCTGTCTCCCTTGCTGTAGCATCTAGCTTCGGTATGGCCTTTCTTCCCACACCCCGTGCAGGTCGGCGCCTTGGGGCAGTCACGCCTGAAATGTCCCTTTGCTCCACAAGTGTCGCAGATTATTCCCACCGTACAATCCCTCCGAAGATGTCCTTGCTCTCCACATTTATGGCAGCGTCTCGGGTCTTTCGATGGCCTCTCTTTCCGCTCTTCCTCTCCCCTTCTTCCTTCCATAGCTGCCCAGGCCGGCCGTTTCCGCTCGTTCGGTCGGCTGGAACTCGACCCCTGCATGCCATCATAAAATCTCTTCCCTTCCTCCACTTCTTTCGCCACCTTGTAGACTTGCCGCAGCGTGGCGCGTACTCCCAGGACGTACAGCTGACTCCTCATGTCGCCTATCAAGTCCTTGTCCAGACCGTTGACAAATTTCGTCACCAAGAGGCGCTCCTCCATACACCCCATGTCCTCTGCCAGCTCCAGCAGCCTGTTGTAATAGGCTAGCAGCGACTCCGAAGTGGCACGCACGAAGTTCTGAAATTCCGCCATCCGTTCCGCCGAGTGCCCCGGGAATTGCTCCTGCAAACTCTCCAGAAATCGGTCCGTTATCATTGCTGGTGAGAAATCGCCTCTCTTGCACTGCATCAACAGCCCCTGCCTTTCCACGCGGTAGTGAGTCAGGGCCTCACCTTTCAAAGTCCGTCCCAAACCTCTAAAGAACTCGATAGGGTCTAAGCCCTCCCTCTCCCAAAGGTAACGCAGGGCGTCTATCATTATCAAGTAGTTCTTGAGCGTGGGCTCCTCCCCTGGTGTCCCCGAGAAACGGTCCGGCACTTCAATTTTCGGTAGAGCTGCGTTCATCGTGCGGCCCGTCCCCCAGCTCGTGTTCCCTCTATCCCCGTTGTCCACCGGCCGACCACCTTGCCTAGCTTCAGTAGCCTCATATCCACCCGCCGCAAAGCTGTGGTACGCTTCTCCTCCTCTCTGGCGGCGTCTTTCTTCGTGATGTTCATCTTCCCCGCGCTGACTGTGCC